GAGTCAGAATTTGGCATAAGCAGCATGAGACCATGGACCCATCCTGCCTGGTGTCAACGGTACAGGCTGGTGGCGGTGGTGTAATGGTGTGGGGAATGTTTTCCTGGCACACGTTAGGTCCCTTGATACAAATTGAGCAACGTTTCCATGCCCTGAAGAATTCAGGCTGATCTGGAGGCAAAGGAGGGTCCGACCCGGTACACCAACCCGGGTACCTAATAAACTGGCCACTGAGTGTATACTTTCCTCATTTTTTAAAACTGGTACTGCACCTGGCTACATTCAGACGAGTTGTGTGAAGCTTATGGGCGTCATAGAGCAAAAGAACCGACATGTACGTGTTCGTGAGAGTCTCCCCTTTCCATAGAGAGGTAGTAGTACGCTACAGACATTTTCGTGAGAAGACCGATTTTCGGGATGTCTCATGGTCTGACAAACATCGCTGTAGCTCTGCCACCTTCCACCACAGATGCGGAAGGCCGACACAGGCGGAGGCGGTGGATTGAGACGCAGCCCATAAAAAAAATTTAAAAAACGGATAGATATCTCTAACTTAAACAGACAGATTTGTATGGGAATGTTTATATTATGCTAATTGGATTTTCTAGAGAGCAATGAAAGGCATCCGAGTTGTAAATTGTATTGCGGCTGTGTGGGTGGGTGGGTGGGTGGGTGGTGGGTGGTCAACACATTTAGCATGCTTTCCAAATGGCACCCCATTCCCTTTATAGTGATTTTGACTAGATCCCTATGGGCTCTGTAGTGCACTATAAAGGGAAGAGGATGCCATTTGGGACTCAGCCTTAGAGTTTACAAGCCCCCTTTCCATTAAGGACGCGATTTCATTTTGTTGCTCTTCTCTTCCATCCAATTCCATATCAATCTCATTTAATCAAATCTCATTCCGTTTCATAGCAGGCCCATAAATCTATGTTGAGAGGAGAGAGGAAACCTTTTAACAAACGGGCCGATCAATAGAACAGTCAAACTGGATAGTCAACCTCATCTTCGTCAAACAGTTTTCTGATGAGTCAAACGATTTCTGAAAAGCTGCGGAGTAAATGGTGGACGTGTGAACATAAGCCTTTTCTGTCATGCTACTAATGACGGATGAGTTATTTTACAACTTTGATCTAAATACAGCATTGCATTCTGAGAGCTGTAAGGTGTCTTCCTTTGTCTTTCGGGTAAACTTCTAAATCAATCTAACTGACTTTTTAATTAGATAGACCTGTTAGTACAGCATCATTTCATTTATGAGTTACCAGTGGTGGTTAAAGTACCCAATAAGTCATACTTCAGTGAAAAGTGAAAGTCACCCGGTAAAATACTACTTGAGTGAAAGTCTAAAAGTATTTGGTTTTAAATATACTTAAGTATCAAAAGTAAATGTATAAATCATTTAAAATTCTTTATATTAAGCAAACCAGACGGCACCATTTTCAAGTTTTATTTAATTTACGGATAGCTAGGGGCACACTCCAACACTCACGCATCATTTACAAACAAAGCATGTGTGTTTAGTGAGTCCACCAGATCGGAGGCAGTAGGGATGACCAGGGATGTTCTCTTGATAAGTGTGTTAATTGGACCATTTTCCTGTCTTGCTAAGCATTCAAAATGTAACGAGTACTTTTGGGTGTCAGGGAAAATGTATGGAGTAAAAAGTACATTATTTTCATTAGGAATGTAGTGAAGTAAAAGTAAAAGTTGTCAAAAAAATATAAATAGTAAAGTAAAGTACAGATACCCCAAAAAACTACTTAAGTAGTACTTTAAAGTATTTTTACTTCAGTACTTTACACCACTGTGAGTTACTTAGTTTCGTAGTGGGTTTAAAGTGATGACACGGTCAACTCTCAGGGTCAAGCTAGGAGTCTGATAATGTTGTCATTTACCCACTGGTCAAAAGTATTGAATAGGGTGCCATTTTGTACTAAACCTTAGCCTCTTAAAAGACTCCAGGAAGTAAACAAAGAAGCTAATTATGTTGCTATAACTTAATCCTGGCTTCATCCTCCTCATATTAGCCCAGAGATATTTAATGATATTATATATTAAACACATACGGCCAACAGAGGCTCCGGGATGTTAAATTATATTGTTCCTGATAGGTATGAACAGTCTGGATGCGTCCCAAACGGCATCCTATTCCAGCCCATACAGTGCACTACTTTTGAACAGGGCCTATAGCGCTCTCGTCAAAAAGTAGTGACCTACACAGGGTGCCATCTGGGACGCAGACACTGCGTTTCCATTGGTCCAAATCAGTGTCCGGGTGATTGATTGGTGGAGGGGCTAGCCCTGGGTCATGGCGTTTCCATGGCGTTTCCATGGCGTTTCCATGGCGTTTCCATGACATTTCCAACTGGGTGGATGAAATTATATGATGTTGTCTGGAATGGATGGACGTCTGGTTTTCTTCCGCTTCGGGCTGCCATCTGTGGAGCTGCTGCACTGGACACAGCCAGACCAGACCAGATCAGATCAGGGTCATGTTCATTTGGTAATGCAACAGAAAAACGTGAATTTGAAAACATCTTGCAACAGAAAATGAGCGTTTCTTATTGGACAAGCCCAGGTAGGTCGTCCGTGGTTCAGTTCATTTTCTTCCGTTTGGTGCCTAATGAACACAACCCAGGTCAGAGCAGGCCTCTATACTGGCTTTGACGAATCCATTGAAACCTTCAATGAAAGGCCTGAGTCCCTGGCTTTAGTCAATTCTTGGCACTGTATAGGAATTAGTGGCCCCAAAACTATACGTTTTTTTTGAATTTTCATGGGAGAGTAGGGGGGACGGAAGGAGAGGAGGGAGGAAAAAAAGCGAGAGAGGAATAATTTCATCTCCCCCCTTTTAGCCGTTTACTATCTATACCTCGCTATCTTCTATGCTCTCTCTCTCTCTCTCTTTATATTCTCAATTCAATTCAATTTTTAAGGGCTTTATTGTCATGGGAAACGTTGTGGTTAAACATTGCCAAAGCAAGTGAAAATAATGTAGTAAACAAAAATGAAATAAACAATAAAAATTAACAGTAAAAAAATTACAATCAGAAGTTCCAAAAGAATAAAGACATTTCAAATGTCCTATTATGTCTATATACAGTGTTTTGTAACAATGTGCCAAAAAGTTAAAATACAATGGAAAATAAAGTAAACATGAATGTGGGTTGTGTGAGAGTGTGATTTGAAGGAGTCAGGCGCAGGAGGGTAAATCACAGAATACAGAATTTATTCCGTAGTACATGGTTACGCTGGATAGCGTCAACAGTCCAGTGCGCAAAACAGGCGCACTGGAACAAATACAGGCACACGGGGAAAATACACCCCGGCAATACAAAGTACACTGAGCTCAACCAAGCTACTCTCTCCTCACATTAAACAATCACCCACAAGGACAAGGGGGGCAGAGGGAACACTTATACAGGTACTAATGAGGGGATATGAACCCAGGGTGTGTGTAATAAACAAGACAAAACAAATGGAATGATGAGATGGGAGCGGCAGTGGCTAGAAGGGCCGGTGACGACGAACGCCGAAGCATGCCCGAACAAGGAGAGGAGGCAGCTTCGGAGGAAGTCGTGACAGGTTGTATTTACAATGGTGTTTGTTCTTCACTGGTTGCCATTTTCTTGTGGCAACAGGTCACAAGTCTTCCTGCTGTGATGGCACACTGTGGTATTTCACCCAGCAGATAAGGGAGTCTATCAAAATTGGGTTTGTTTTCGAATTCTTTGTGGATCTCTGTAATTGCGGGGAAATATGTGTCTCTAATATGGTCATACATTTGGCAGGAGGTTTAGGAAGTGCAGCTCAGTTTCCACCTCATTTTGTGGGCAGGTGCACATAGCCTGTCTTCTCTTGAGAGCCAGGTCTGCCTACGGTGGAACTTTCTCAATAGCAAGGCTATGCTCACTGAGTCTGTACATAGTCAAAGCTTTCCTTAAGTTTGGGTCAGTCACGGTGGTCAGGTATTCTGCCACTGTGTACTCTCTGTTTCGGGCCAAATAGCATTCTAGTTTGCTCTGTTTTTTTGTTAAATCTTTCCAATGTGTCAAGTAATTCTCTTTTTGTTTTCTCATGATTTGGTTTGTGTCTAATTGTGTTGTTGTTGTCCTGGGGCTCTGTGGGGTCTGTTTGTGTTGTGAACAGAGCCCCAGGACCAGCTTACTTAGGGGACTCTTCTCCAGGTTCATCTCTCTGTAGGTGATGGCTTTGTTATGGAAGGTTTGGGAATCGCTTCCTTTTAGGTGGTTTGTAGAATTTAACGGCTCTTTTCTGGATTTTGATAATTAGCGGGTATCGGCCCCCTAATTCTGGCTCTGCATGCATTATTTGGTGTTTTTCGTTGTACACTGAGGATATTTTTGCAGAATTCTACGTGCAGAGTCTCAATTGGTGTTGTCCCAGTGGGGGGATAAGGAGGTTGCGGGTCTTAGGGTACCTCGGGAAGAGTGAAAAAGGAAAGAGAGGGGAAATGAGGAAAGTAGAGAAGAAAGGGAGAGAAAGAGAGTAGAGAGATAGCGAGAGAAAGAAAAAACAAGAGAGAGAGAGAGAGAAAAAAGAAGAGAGAGAGGAGAGATAGAGAGAGAGAGAGAGAAAGAGAGAGCAAGACCAGCGAAAGAGAGAGAGAGAGAGAAGAGAGAAGAGAGAGAGAGAAGAGAAAGAGAAAGGAGAGAGAGAGAGAGAGAGAGAGAAGAGAGAGAGCGCGAGAAAGAGATCCCTCTCTCCGCTCTCTCCCTATCTCTCTCTCTCTCTCCTCTCTCTCTCTCTCCCTTCCCTCTCTCTCTCCCTCTCTCTCTCCCTATCAGATCAAAATAATATTTTCTTTGAAATCTCAGAGGGTCTCCTGTCAAAACAATTGAGTCTGAGGTCGGAGGAAGAGCTTGACCTTTTGAAGAGACGTTTGTAAAACATGACCAGGAGAACATAACCGATAAGCTTTACACCCTATTCCCTGCTTTACTGCACAATGTTTGACAGGGTTCACAGGGCTCTGGTCAAAAGTAGTGCACTATGTAGGGAACAGGGTGCTGTTTGGGACGGAGACACTGGATCTCATCATCTCTATGCGTCTGTAGGAACAATATGGTATAGATACACTATGGTATAGATACACTATGATATAGATACATTATACACTATGGTATAGATACATTATGGTATAGATACACAATGGTATAGATACACTATAGTATAGATACACTATGGCATAGATACACTATGATATAGATACATTATACACTATGGTATAGATACACTATGGCATAGATACACTATGATATAGATACATTATACACTATGGTATAGATACACTATGGTATAGATACACTATGGTATAGATACACTATGACATAGATACACTACGGTATAGATACGCTATTGTATAAATACACTATATACTATTGTATAGACACACTATGATATAGACACACAATGGTATAGATACACTATGGTAAAGATAAACTATGATATAGATTCACTATACAAGATACACTATGGTATAGATACACTATGGTATAGATACACTATGGTATAGACACACTATACACTATGGTATAGATACACTATGGTATAGATACACTATGGTATAGATACACTATTGTAAAGATAAACTATGATATAGATTCACTATACACTATGGTATTGATGTACTATGGTATAGATACACAATTCACTATGGTGTAGATACACTTTACACTATGGTGTAGATACACTATGGTATAGATACACTGTGGTTCAGATATACTATGGTATAGATACACTATGGTTCAGATATACTATGGTATAGATACACTATGGTAAAGATACACTATGATACACTGTGATGCAAAAATTCTAGCAAAATGTATAGCGCATAGAGTTAAAAAGGTATTGTCGGAAATTATTCATTCAAATCAAACAGGTTTTTTACATGGGCGAAACATTGGAGATAATATAAGGCAAGTACTGGAAACAATAGAACACTATGAAAAATCTGGGAAACCAGGCCTGCTATTCATTGCAGACTTCGAAAAGGCATTTGATAAAGTACGACTGGGGTTTATATATAAATGCCTGGAGCCTTTCAATTTTGGACAATCTCTTATACATTGGGTTAAAATCATGTATAGTAACCCTAAGTGTAAAATAGTAAATAATGGCTATTTCTCAAGAAGTTTTAAACTGTCAAGAGGAGTGAAAAAAGGTTGTCCACTATCGGCATATCTATTTATTATGGCCATCGAGATGTTAGCTATTAAAATCAGATCCAACAATAATATCAAGGGATTAGAAATCCAGGGCTTAAAAACAAAGGTGTCATTGTACACTGATGATTCATGTTTTCTTTTAAATCCACAACTTGAATCCCTCCACAGCCTCATAGAGGATCTAGATACATTTTTTAACCTCTCTGGATTACAACCAAATTATGATAAATGCACTATATTATGTATTGGATAACTAAACAATTTTTACATTACCATGTAGTTTACCAATGAAATGGTCTGATGGTGAGGTGGATATACTCGGAATACATATCCCAAATGAAATAAATGATCTCACTCCAATACATTTTAATAGAAAGTTAGCAAAAATAGATAAGATCTTGCTACCATGGAAAGGTAAATACCTGTCAATTTGTGGAAAAATCACCCTGATTAACTCTTAAGTATTATCCCAGTTTACCTACAGTGGGGGAAAAAAGTATTTAGTCAGCCACCAATTGTGCAAGTTCTCCCACTTAAAAAGATGAGAGAGGCCTGTAATTTTCATCATAGGTACATGTCAACTATGACAGACAAATTGAGAAAGAAATATCCAGAAAATCACATTGTAGGATTTTTAATGAATTTATTTGCAAATTATGGTGGAAAATAAGTATTTGGTTACCTACAAACAAGCAAGATTTCTGGCTCTCACAGACCTGTAACTTCTTCTTTAAGAGGCTCCTCTGTCCTCCACTCGTTACCTGTATTAATGGCACCTGTTTGAACTTGTTATCAGTATAAAAGACACCTGTCCACAACCTCAAACAGTCACACTCCAAACTCCACTATGGCCAAGACCAAAGAGCTGTCAAAGGACACCAGAAACAAAATTGTAGACCTGCACCAGGCTGGGAAGACTGAATCTGCAATTGGTAAGCAGCTTGGTTTGAAGAAATCAACTGTGGGAGCAATTATTAGGAAATGGAAGACATACAAGACCACTGATAATCTCCCTCATCTGGGGCTCCACGCAAGATCTCACCCCGTGGGGTCAAAATGATCACAAGAACGGTGAGCAAAAATCCCAGAACCACACGGGGGGGACCTAGTGAGTGACCTGCAGAGAGCTGGGACCAAAGTAACAAAGCCTACCATCAGTAACACACTACGCCGCCAGGGACTCAAATCCTGCAGTGCCAGACGTGTCCCCCTGCTTAAGCCAGTACATGTCCAGGCCCGTCTGAAGTTTGCTAGAGTGCATTTGGATGATCCAGAAGAGGATTGGGAGAATGTCATATGGTCAGATGAAACCAAAATAGAACTTTTTGGTTAAAAAACTCAACTCGTCGTGTTTGGAGGACAAAGAATGCTGAGTTGCATCCAAAGAACACCATACCTACTGTGAATCATGGGGGTGGAAACATCATGCTTTGGGGCTGTTTTTCTGCAAAGGGACCAGGACGACTGATCCGTGTAAAGGAAAGAATGAATGGGGCCATGTATCGTGAGATTTTGAGTGAAAACCTCCTTCCATCAGCAAGGGCATTGAAGATGAAACGTGGCTGGGTCTTTCAACATGACAATGATCCCAAACACACCGCCCGGGCAACGAAGGAGTGGCTTCGTAAGAAGCATTTCAAGGTCCTGGAGTGGCCTAGCCAGTCTCCAGATCTCAACCCCATAGAAAATCTTTGGAGGGAGTTGAAAGTCTGTGTTGCCCAGCGACAGCCCCAAAACATCACTGCTCTAGAGGAGATCTGCATGGAGGAATGGGCCAAAATACCAGCAACAGTGTGTGAAAACCTTGTGAAGACTTTTGAAAACGTTTGATCTGTGTCATTGCCAACAAAGGGTATATAACAAAGTATTGAGAAACTTTTTTTATTGACCAAATACTTATTTTCCACCATAATTTGCAAATAAATTCATTAAAAATCCTACAATGTGATTTTCTAGATTTTTTTTCCTCATTTTGTCTGTCATAGTTGACGTGTACCTATGATGAAAATTACAGGCCTCTCATATTTTTAAGTGGGAGAACTTGCACAATTGGTGGCTGACTAAATAATTTTTTCCCCCACTGTATTTGCTTATGGTCTTGCCTACGCCTAGCGAACAGTTTTTTAAATTATATGAGAAAATATTCAATTTTATTTGGAACGGCAAACCAGACAAAATTAAACGGTTCTATTTATATAATGAATATGAATTCAGAGGACAGAAATTATTAAATATTAAAGCGTTAGACCTATCCCTAAAAGCTTCAGTCATACAAAAGTTATACTTCAATCCGAACTGGTTCCCTTTATTCAGATTACAACCTCTAACTTTCAGTTATTTGAAAAGGAAATGATCTCCCAAATATCACTATTTCTAAAACAAGCCATAGAAAGTTGGTTGCAATTTCAATTTAATCCTCCAGAAATGACAGAACAAATATTGCAACAAATATTGTGGTTCAACTCAAATATAGTAATTTATTTAAAAAAACATTTTTATTTGACAAAATTTTAAAAAAAATGAATAATCTTCGTAAATGATATTATCGGTAGGACTGGTGGAGTTATGTCGCACATGCAGCTAACAAAAACATATGGAAATGTCTGCTCTACCCAAAATTACAACCAAATAATTGCAGCATTACCATAAAAATGGAAGAGGAAAGTGGAAGGGGGAAAATGTAAGGAACTTGTCTGTCGGCCCTGCATTAAAGAACATAATTGGTTAAAGACAATTGTGATAAATAAAAAAGTATACCAGTTTCAGTTAAGGACCAAAGGATTGACAGCCATCCCATATAGATTTCAAAATAGTTGGGAAGAGAGTTTTGACGTACCAATTAAATGGCATAGTGTTTATGAACTGATACGCAAAACGACGTCGGATTCAAACTTAGAATTGTTCAATAAAAATTTGTATACAAAATTCTTGCTACCAATAGAATGTTATTTATATGGGGGATACAATCTTCCCAGCTTTGCAGAATTTGCTCCGAAGAGACAAAATCGTTAGATCATTTGTTTTGGTACTGTCCATTTGTAGCTTGTTTTTGGACACAGGTCCAGGAATGGCTAAAGGATTGCAATATTTACCTGGAGCTAGCCCTGCAGATAGCATTACTGGGTGATCTGAAAAGTCATAGTCAATCGATCAATAATATAATAATACTTTTAGCAAAAATGTTTATTTTCAATTTACAATCTGTAGAAACAATGAGAATTGAAAGGTTCAGAACTTTTGTAAAACATCACAGTACAGTTGAAAAATATATGGCAAAAAGAAATCCAATATGGATGGTGTTAAGAGATAGATGGGAGGTGTTGAATGGAGCTGAAGGATGGGACTAATAACAACAACTAATAACAACAAGATAACTTATGCAAAGCATACTTTGTCCATAATAAGTATATAGGTTATGGGTTGGGAGATTTGTGAAAGAGCACAGTTAGAAAAATATTAAAACTTGTTTTTCAACCACTCCACAAATGTCTTGTTAACAAACTATAGTTTTGGCAAGTCGGTTCGGATATCTACTTTGTACATGACACAAGTAATTTTTCCAACAATTGTTTACAGACAGATTATTTCACTTATAATTCACTGTATCACAATTCCAGTGGGTCAGAAGTTTACATACACTAAGTTGACTGTGCCTTAAAACAGCTTGGAAAATGGCAGAAAATTATGTCATGGCTTTAGAAGCTTCTGATAAGCTAATTTACATCATTTGAGTCAATTTGAGGTGTACCTGTGGATGTATTTCAAGGCCTACCTTCAAACTCAGTGCCTCTTTGCTTGACATCATGGGAAAATCAAAAGAAATCAGCCAAAACCTCAGAAAAAAAATTGTAGACCTCCACAAGTCTGGTTCATCCTTGGGAGCAATTTTCAATGCCTGAAGGCACCAAGTTCATCTGTACAAACAATAGCACGCTAGTATAAACACCATTGGACCACACAGACGTCATACCGCTCAGGAAGGAGACGCGTTCTGTCTCCTAGAGATGAACGCACTTTGGTGTGAAAAGTGTAAATCAATCCCAGAACAACAGCAAAGGACCTTGTGAAGACGCTGGAGGAAACAGGTACAAAGTATCTATATCCACAGTAAAACGAGTCCTATATCGACATAACCTGAAAGGCCGCTCAGCAAGGAAGAAGCCACTGCTCCAAAACCGCCATAAAAAAGCCAGACTACAGTTTGCAACTGCACATGGGGACAAAGATCGTACTTTTTGGAGAAATGTCCTCTGGTCTGATGAAACAAAATAGAACTGTTTGGCCATAATGACCATCGTTATGTTGGGAGGAAAAAGGGGATCGCTTGCAAGCCGAAGAACACCATCCCAACTGTGAAGCACGGGGGTGGCAGCATCATGCCGTGTGAGTGCATTGCTGCAGGAGGGACTGGTGCACTTCACAAAATGCATGGCATCATGAGGAAGGAAAATTATGTGAATATATTGAAGCAACATCTCAAGACATCAGTCAAGAAGTTAAAGCTTGGTCGCAAATGGGTCTTCCAAATGGACATTGACCCCAAGCATACTTCCAAAGTTGTGGCAAAATGGCTTAAGGACAACAAAGTCAAGATATTGGAGTGGCCATCACAAAGACCTGACCTCAATCCTATAGAAAATGTGTGGGCAGAACTGAAAAAGCATGTGCGAGCAAGGAGGCCTACAAACCTGACTCAGTTACACCAGCTCTGTCAGGAGGAATGGGCCTAAATTCAAGGATGAGGTCAGTAATTTTTATTCATGGATTTTGGTGGAATGATTTGAACTTGTATAAGGATAGTAATTATTGTGAAGGGCAGAGAATAATTAACAACATCTCATAAAACTTGCCATATTCTAGAGTGGCAAAGCACAGTAACTTAAAGGAAGGAATGGGGTCTGTAATGACTCAAGGTAAATGGCCACTACCAAAATAAACTAGTTAATATTGAGATTGTACGGGGTACAGTGTTTACAATATAAACAGGAAGGGAGATAATTATCATCATGTGAGATAGATACATTAAACAAGTCGAGAGTCATAAACAACTGGGGATTTGCTCTAACTCTGTCTATTTCATGAAACTGGAGCAGTTACGACCTCTAGGTTACGGATAGTGTTAGCAAAAAATCGTATAAGGTTGTATACGTGTGAGACCTAATGATCCAATCGAAATACGTGATAATAAATGGTTGTCCCATCCGTTTCATGAAACTGGGGTCTTAAAAAACTCTGGGTTACGGGTTGAATAATTTAAATGGTTGATTACAAAAGCAGATCATAAACATTTGCTCAAAAGTCGCACCAAATAATTAGTCCCAAAGAAAATAATTATTGATTGAATTATTACTAAACGGGGGGATTTCTTATTTTTCTACCATGGGAAATAAATATTCTAAAGAGGTCCGAGAATTAACGGGGAATGAAAGATATATGTTAGGAAGGGATCAAAGAAATATGTATTATGGATCCATTTGGGAGAAGAGGTATGGATTTATTGGGCATCTCGATGTAGAGAAATTAGAGGCTATGATTAGGCAGGTGCATGTAAATTGCGGAACGGATTTGAAGAACCAGCGAGGGGAGGGACTAGACACAGCGAGAGTATGACTTTTGGAGAGTCAGGAAGGGCTACAGAATTTAAACACAGAGAGTTGAAGAGATTAGAGAGCTATAATAAATTAGGGAGGCAGAAAAGGGGAGGAGATAAGAGGAAGTGCTTTAACTGTAACAAGGAGGGTCATTTTGCCAGAGAGTGTGAGGCCCCCGTGTAAATACTGTAACAAAACAGGTCATAACCATCGCGACTGCAGAGCTAAAGGAAAGGGCAGTGTCCGGGAAATGACAGTCTATTTTTTGGTTCCACGGGTAAAGTTTGAAGAAGTGATTTGTGTCGATTAAGAATTGGCAAAAAACACCACGAAGCGATTATTTGAGAGGTACCTATACATTTCTAACGATATATACGTATGAACTTTCTCACCCAAACGTAGACGTACATCATGGGTGAGAAAGTAGAGAATATTTACATTTACATTTTTGGTCATTTAGCAGACGCTCTTGTCCAGAGCGACTTGCAGGGGCAATTGGGGTTGGGTGCCTTGCTCAGGGGCACATTGACAGATTTTTCACCTGGTCGGCTCGGGGATTGGAACCGGCAACCTCTCGGTTGCTGGCACGGCGCTCTTGGTCACTAAGCTACCTGCCGCCCCATATGAGTTTAAGGTTGTGCCGTAGTTTGATTATGTGATAAGGTTTAATGGGTAATCAGACCATAACTAATGTGGTTATAGAAGGAATGTATAATATAGTGGAGAGCCAATAGAGGGTTCCATTGAACTATTATGGTTTATTGGGCATTTCAATGGCATAAGGTGAAATCTGTATGTATGAGTGAATTCAACGGCTGGTATGGGTGGTAACCGGATACTACTCAGTATTTGGTTTGGTGATGTTGAATGGAAGATTTGTAGCGTGGTTTGGGGTTAAATAGAAAGACTCACTTATTCAACAGGAATAGGTGCAGGGAGAGATAGTTTTTGTGCTGCTGAATGAGGTGAGAGCTAGTGCGGTTTTCATTTGGTGATGTCACTTGCTCTATGAACTGGAAGTAGTTGCTTTGAAATGATCGCGGATTTTGTGGAGTGACTGGCAATGTATGTAGAGGGTCCCTGGTTCAAACCCAGGTAGAGACAGTGGGTAAAACTTTCGCATTGGGGCTATGGACCTAGATTACTACATGGATTGAGAAATGTGAAAGGTTGAATTAGATAGCTTAAGTAGAAGTATTCTAGAAAGGTCTATGAAAATATGTTACAAGGTCCCCGCGCCTCCCCCGTTGTGTAGGAAGGAGCATGGGGGGGGGGGTGAGAGACAGTACATAGTTCAAATGATAGGAATATAATTAAATGTATGCTTATCAACGATAGCAAGTATTTGTTTCATTAATTAGGGCCTAATCAGAGAGAACAGTTAAATAAATTGAATAGCGAACTGAAATTGCGATAGAGCTGTGAAAATTATTTAAGTTGAGGACAAAGGAAAATAATTGATGGGTCTAGTTCCCGGGTAAAAGAGTTGTACTTGCTTGACTGGATCGAGCAGAAGGTTGAATAGTTGAATGAAAAGCATTTCTTTGACAAAGTCTAATGGTTATTACTTTATTGTATAGGTTGAGTAACACCAGTGGTGTATGAAAATAATTGGTGATTTCTAAAAACGAGAATCTGTTTATGGTACGTTGATCAATGGGATATAGCTGTGACTATTAGGATTATGGATTGAATAAACATTGGTAATGAGTATGAAGTTATTAAACAATAGGTTTATATTTTAAAAACATCAATGCAACAGGTTGCAATGATTAAATTAATAGAAAAGGGTTATATGATTATATTAGAAGGTGTAGTGAACTTAATGAAACGTGGTATTATATAGTGTCTTCCAGGATTGATGGAAGTCTCCTATAGCATTATGTTAAGGATTTGCCTGGGATAAAATATAATGTCTTACTTACACGGAGTATGTGATTGTATTGGCTAATGAATGAAATATGACATTTACAGGGGCGACAGGAACAATAGAAGGGGAGACAGATTTTCCTAGGGGGTTGATCAAATAATTGATAATGGATCATTTGAGATGAGATCACATGGAGTGTTTAAAGCTGTATATGTGTTTTTTGGCGGCAGAGCTCTCCATGATTAAACATACAGATCATTCTTGCCGGTTGTGGACCTTCGTTTAATTCATGATTAAACCAGAGCCTTACACCCTCTGGGAATTATTCAAAGCATTACGTTTGATTAATTAGAGATAGAAATTCTCGTGACATAGATACACAATGGTATAGATACACAATGGTATAGATACACAATGGTATAGATACACAATGGTATAGATACACTATGGTATAGACACACTATGGTATAGATACACTATGGTATAGATACATTATGGTATAGATACACTATGGTATAGATACATTATGGTATAGACACACTATGGTATAGACACACTATACACTATGGTATAGATACACTATGGTATATATACACTATACACTATGGTACAGATACACTATGGTATAGATACATTATGGAATAGATACACTATGGTATAGATACATTATGGTATAGATACACTATGGTATAGATACATTATGGTATAGACACACTATGGTATAGACACACTATACACTATGGTATAGATACACTATGGTATATATACACTATACACTATGGTATAGATACATTATGGTATAGATACACTATGGTATAGATACATTATGGTATAGACACACTATGGTATAGACACACTATACACTATGGTATAGATACACTATGGTATATATACACTATACACTATGGTATAGATACACTATGGTATAGATACACTATACACTATGGTATAGATACACTATGGTATAGATACATTATGGAATAGATACACTATGGTATAGATACATTATGGTATAGATATTGTGTGTATGCACATCTATTTTCATAATTTTACTGTCATATCTATGATTGCCTTTGAAAGTAAGATAGAGTATGCCCGGGCCAATACAGTGCAAGGTGTATCCTTTTTGAAAGACATTCTAATGTCAAGTTCCAAATTCCATTTTAGAATTCATAGAATGGAGAAGATTGAGATGAGTTTGTTCATTTTCAAGTGTTCCTAACCTTAGCAGGAGGTTGTCTAAACCTCTCATACCATATCTTTGGCTGCATAAAAATCATATTTCCAAAGGAGATGTGTTTTCATTGCCAACTGTAAGACACTATTAAAATGAAAAATGACACTCTACTGTACATGCCGGTTCCTTCCTGTTCCTGTGTGATGGAGTGCGTGTGTGTGATGAGGCTCCTTGCTCTTAGCCTGTACAGATGTAGACTAAACATGGCTCAGGGCTCGTTCTACTGTCGGACCTGACACATCCCATCTGGCCCTCATGTACCTACTGGTGAGGGAGGTTGTGTTTCAGCCTGGCCTCAGAGCCATACGGAACATACTCTACGTTATTCCTGAGAACCTCCAAGATGTATGGGCTGGACGTATGATATCTACTAATGTCTAGTCACTTTAGACAGAAATAAAAAGAGGGAGGTTGGTCGGGGAGGATGGGGTGGAAGTAATCCGCAACCGTCTAGCAATCCAAAGGTTTAGTGCTCGAGTCGCATCAGAGACAACTGTAGCATTTAACCCTTCCCCTAATCCTTATTCTAACTTTATCCCAATTCACCTAACCTGCGTTGTTAGTTCTGCTAACCGCCAGTGTAAATTTCCCCTGTGATTCTCCATTGTTGTTATGACACAACACATAACCTGGTCTCAGAGAAAGACATATAATACAGATGTCGGATCTTCAATTGAGCCAGTTTGCTACAGCGGGTAAATAATCCTGCAGCAACAGGATGTGAATTATTATGTGGATTATAATTAATGGACATTTTTGTAGGGGGTGATACTTTTTTGCAAAGGAAAATCAAGTCTGAAATTTCAAAGTGGAAATTACTAACTTCAGAAGCCTTTTTAAACCTCACTACACATTTTACAGTACATTTCCTGCATTGCAAGAAAGTTCTCCTGCAACAGGGTGATCAAATTAATATCCTACATCTGTACTATACTTCCTCCAAGACGTAAGATAAATTTCGTCATCCAATTCGTATGCTGTTGTACCACCAGGTAAGACGTACAGTGGCTTGCAAAAGTATTCACCCCCCTTGGCATTTTTCCTATTTTCTTGCCTTACAACCTGGAATTAAAATTGATTTTTTTGGGGGGTTTGTATCATTTGATTTACACAACACATGCCTACCACTTTGAAGATGCAAAATATTTTTTCCTTGTTTCACAAGAAATAAGGCAAAAAAACAGAAAACTTGAGCGTGCATCACTATTCATCCCCCCCAAAGTCAATACTTTGTAGAGCCACCTTTTGCAGCAATTACAGCTGCAAGTCTCTTGGGGTATGTCTCTATAAGCTTGGCACATCTAACCACTGGGATTTTTGCCCATTCTTCAAGGCAAAACTGCTCCAACTCCTTCAAGTTGGATGGGTTCTGCTGGTGTACATAAATCTTTAAGTGATACCACAGATTCTCAATTGGATTGAGGTCTGGGCTTTGACTAGGCCATTCCAAGACATTTAAATGTTTCCCCTTAAACCACTTGAGTGTTGCTTTAGCAGTATGCTTAGGGTCATTATCCTGCTGGAAGGTGAACCTCGGTCCCAGTCTCAAATCTCTGGAAGACTGAAACAGGTTTCCCTCAAGAATTTCCCTGTATTTAGCGCCATCCATCATTCCTTCAATTCTGACCAGTTTCCCAGTCCCTGCCGATGAAAAACATCCCCACAGCATGATGCTGTCACCAGCATGTTTCACTGTGGGGATGGTGTTCTCGGGGTGATGAGAGGTGTTGGGTTTGCGCCAGACATAGAGTTTTCCTTGAAGGCCAAAAAGCTCAATTTTAGTCTCATCTGACCAGAGAACCTTCTTCCATATGTTTGGGGAGTCTCCCACATGCCTTTTGTCGAACACCAAAAGTGTTTGCTTATTTTTTTCTTTAAGCAATGGCTTTTTTCTGGCCACTCTTCCGTAAAGCCCAGCTCTGTGGAGTGTACGGCTTAAAGTGGTCCTATGGACAGATACTCCAATCTCCGCTGTGGAGCTTTGCAGCTCCTTCAGGGTTATCTTTGGTCTCTTTGTTGCCTCTCTGATTAATTTCCTCCTTGCCTGGTCCGTGTGTTTTGGTGGGCGGCCCTCTCTTGGCAGGTTTGTTCTGGTGCCATATTCTTTCCATTTTTGAATAATGGATTTAATGGTGCTCCATGGGATGTTCAAAGTGTCATATATTTTTTATAACCCAACCCTGATCTGTACTTCTCCACAACTTTGTCCCTGACCTGTTTGGAGAGCTCCTTGGTCTTCATTGTGCTGCTTGCTTGGTGGCGCCCCTTGCTTAGTGGTGTTGCAGATTCTGGGGCCTTTCAGAACAGGTGTATATATACTGAGGTCATGTGACAGATCATGTGACACTTAGATTGCACAGAGGTGGACTTTATTTAACTAATTCTGTGACTTCTGAAGGTAATTGGTTGCACCAGATCTTATTTAGGGGCTTCATAGCAAAGGGGGTGAATACATACAGTGGGGAAAAAAAGTATTTAGTCAGCCACCAATTGTGCATGTTCTCCCACTTAAATGACTAAAATGTAAAATGTAAACAGATCTGGGACCAGGCTATAGAAGGAGACAACAGATCTGGGACCAGGCTTTTAGAGGTTATAAATCGGCTTTTGGGGGTGACCTGCCAAAGTTTGCAACTTCACCATGCAGGTTTTGGGAACACTGCATGGGTAGACTGTGTATTTATTTTATTCAGGCCACAATTGACTCACTGCTAGATTGCCAATGCCAAGCCCAGTCGTACTTGGATATGGTGCCATACACAGGGCCTGGTGGATAGTCATCCTAACTCATAGCCAGACATGGTGCACGCATCGGTGTGTTGCATTGTGGGTAGTCCTCCTAACTCATAGCCAGACATGGTGCACGCTTCGGTGTGTTGCATTGTGGGTAGTCCTCCTAACTCATAGCCAGACATGGCGCACGCATCAGTGTGTTGCATTGTGGGTAGTCCTCCTAACTCATAGCCAGACATGCATCAGTGTGTTGCATTGTGGGTAGTCCTCCTAACTCATAGCCAGACATGCATCGGTGTGTTGCATTGTGGGTAGTCCTCCTCACCAGGTGTAGACTGTCTGCCTTCTGGGTCTGTCTCATCCTGCTCTTCTGGGCAGCGATACGGTTCTTCTCCCTTCTCATCACTTTCTTTATGTTGTCTGAGGAGCCCTGGGGAGAGACACGGGGAAGAGTCATCTTCCTGACAGGACGGTAACTGTTGCCCACCCCAACTAACTTACACTAACGGGTGGAGTATTAGGGTTCATTCCAATATACAGTAGATATTATAGATTGAAAATGTATAATCATGCATAACAATATTGACAGTTCTAGGATGAGACATCTCTCTGGTGCATGGCTTGACTGACGCATCATTTCTACAAAGCTGAGTTATTCTGATACCATGAGAACTGAAGTATTCAGGACATGAAACAAGGCGTGATCTGAGACCCACCCCAAACCAACCCTTCCCTGCAGGTGCAATATTGCAATGTTAAGTCTATCAGCTCATCCCTTCATCAAACGGCCTTGATTCCCAGACCACACCTACAGTGGGGAAAAAATGTATTTAGTCAGCCACCAATTGTGCAAGTTCTCCCACTTAAAAAGATGAGAGAGGCCTGTAATTTTCATCATAGGTACACGTCAACTATGACAGACAAAATGAGGAAAAAAAATCCAGAAAATCACATTGTAGGATTTTAAATGAATTTATTTGCAAATTATGGTGGAAAATAAGTATTTGGTCAATAACAAAAGTTTCTCAATACTTTGTTATATACCCTTTGTTGGCAATGACACAGGTCAAACGTTTTCTGTAAGTCTTCACAAGGTTTTCACACACTGTTGCTGGTATTTTGGCCCATTCCTCCATGCAGATCTCCTCTAGAGCAGTGATGTTTTGGGGCTGTCGCTGGGCAACACGGACTTTCAACTCCCTCCAAAGATTTTCTATGAGGTTGAGATCTGGAGACTGGCTAGGCCACTCCAGGACCTTGAAATGCTTCTTACGAAGCCACTCCTTCGTTGCCCGGGCGGTGTGTTTGGGATCATTGTCATGCTGAAAGACCCAGCCACGTTTCATCTTCAATGCCCTTGCTGATGGAAGGAGGTTTTCACTCAAAATCTCACGATACATGGCCCCATTCATTCTTTCCTTTACACGGATCAGTCGTCCTGGTCCCTTTGCAGAAAAACAGCCCCAAAGCATGATGTTTCCACCCCCATGCTTCACAGTAGGTATGATGTTCTTTGGATGCAACTCAGCATTCTTTGTCCTCCAAACATGACGAGTTGAGTTTTTACCAAAAAGTTCTATTTTGGTTTCATCTGACCATATGACATTCTCCCAATCCTCTTCTGGATCATCCAAATGCACTCTAGCAGACTTCAGACGGGCCTGGACATGTACTGGCTTAAGCAGGGGGACACGTCTGGCACTGCAGGATTTGAGTCCCTTGTGGCGTAGTGTGTTACTGATGGTAGGCTTTGTTACTTTGGTCCCAGCTCTCTGCAGGTCATTCACTAGGTCCCCCCGTGTGGTTCTGGGATTTTTGCTCACCGTTCTTGTGATCATTTTGACCCCACGGGGTGAGATCTTGCGTGGAGCCCCAGATCGAGGGAGATTATCAGTGGTCTTGTATGTCTTCCATTTCCTAATAATTGCTCCCACAGTTGATTTCTTCAAACCAAGCTGCTTACCTATTGCAGATTCAGTCTTCCCAGCCTGGTGCAGGTCTACAATTTTGTTTCTGGTGTCCTTTGACAGCTCTTTGGTCTTGGCCATAGTGGAGTTTGGAGTGTGACTGTTTGAGGTTGTGGACAGGTGTCTTTTATACTGATAACAAGTTCAAACAGGTGCCATTAATACAGGTAACGAGTGGAGGACAGAGGAGCCTCTTAAAGAAGAAGTTACAGGTCTGTGAGAGCCAGAAATCTTGCTTGTTTGTAGGTGACCAAATACTTATTTTCCACCATAATTTGCAAATAAATTCATTAAAAATCCTACAATGTGATTTTCTGGATTTTTCTTTTCTCAATTTGTCTGTCATAGTTGACGTGTACCTATGATGAAAATTACAGGCCTCTCTCATCTTTTTAAGTGGGAGAACTTGCACAATTGGTGGCTGACTAAATAAATTTTTTCCCCACTGTATGCACGCACCACTTTTCCGTTATTTATTTTTTATACGTTTGTGAAACAAGTTATTGTTTTCATTTCACTTCACCAATTTGGACTATTTTGTGCATGCCCATTACATGAAATCCAAATAAAAATCAATTTAAATTACAGGTTGTAATGCAACAAAATAGGAAAAACGCAGAGGGGGATGAATTTTGCAAGGCACTGTATTATACTATATGTCCCCTAATTTTTACGATATTCTTTGACCTCTATTCCATTCATATTGGAACCTAACGTAACAAAACATATCATACTAAATGGAGTGTCACAGATTTACATACAGAATAATAGGAATTACCCTGAGACCAAGTTGTGTGGGCCAAGAGGAGTGTTTGAATTTGAATGAAGTGGTTCAAATTCAATATCAATAATCTATTTCTGAAAAGTTATCTCTGAGTGTCTGAGACCTGTCAGTCAGACGTGATGATGGTGTGTGGACGTGTTGGAATGGATTTACCCTCAGACCACAGACTATAGTCCACCACCCCGCCACTCCTCGACCCCTCCATCTCTCCATCCCTCCACCCCCTCCACCCCTCCATCTCTCCATCCCTCCAGTCCTCCACCCCTCCACTCCTCTACCCCTCCATTCCTCCACCCCTCAACTCCTCCATCTCTCCACTCCTCCAGCCCTCCACTCCTCTACCCCTCCATTCCTCCATTCCTCCACTCCTCCACCCTTCCACTCCTCCACCCCTACGCTCCGCCACCCCTCCACCCCTCCACCCTTCCATTCCTCCACCCCTCCACTCCTCTAACCCCTCCACTCCTCCACCCCTCCACTCCTCTACCCCTCCATTACTCCACCCCTCCACTCCTCCACCCCTTAATCTCTCCATCCCTCCACTCCTCCACTCCTCCACTCTCCATTCCTCCACCCCTCTACCCCTCCACCCCTGCACCCCTCCATCCTCCATTCTCCCCTCACCCCTCCACACTTTCTTCCTTTCCCGTAAAGTTTACTGTTCAAATAAATAAA